TTGGTGGTTGAAAAAGTGTATGGTTGACACTTGTTGATCATGTTGTGCTCGTGTTGTGTGTATATGTATGTTTACTACTCTAGCACACACCATAACATATTGTAGCAGCGATCCGATAGCTGTTGTATCAGTTTCACTTGATATGAGGATAGCGTGTATCTCTTATGCAACAGCTCAGAGAAGATCAAATGATTTGACCCCTGTCTCATGCCCTGCGCTTCATTGTGCTGGGGCTGATGGCTCTGGGGCTCCCTTTGTTCAGGGGCATGAGTACTGCGAGTTGTGTGCTGTGTAAACATGCACTACTGTTCAAAAGTTTGAGGCCAGTATCTTTGATGCTTTTATTTGTTTGTTGTACTATGACTTCCAAAAGGACATTTTAAATGGATTAAAAGTGACTTAAAATGATGTCACTACAATGTTGGTTTCAAAAATATAGATCAATCAATCACATGTACCAAAGAAAAGTCTATATTCATTCATATTATTCGCTATGGTTTATTTCTTAGTGTTGAAAAATATATTACGTTTATAGTAATGCTTTTTTGTTATTTGGATGACTGCAATCTTTCCCAGCACCACGGACATGCAGGAAGAAATGTGAATTACTGCATGCATGGTGAAAAAATTGCAAGCTTGAAAGAACATTTAACATTTGTTAGCAGTATTTTATGTTTTACCTGAAATCATTAGTGTCTGAAAGGTGTTTTTATTGGTGTGTCATTTGTGTCTCACAATAACCAGAACAAATACATATGGTAACAGCGCAGGCTAGTAATCCCATGTTAAAAACCCTTAACTAACCATCAATAATGAATTTGACCATCAAATGTGCTAGCACAATGTCAAAGTGCATCTGAGGCTGTAACTCTAAAATGTTTAAAACTATTGACACCAAACTTAAGGTTCTTCATTGTCACCTAACACAATATATGGTCCCACTTTATATTAAGTGGCCTTAACTAATATGTACTTACACAAGAATTAATAGTTTGTTACAATGTACTTATTGTGTAAATACATGTATTTACTGTATACTTATGCTTAATTAAATACATGTATGTAATTACAGCCGTAATTAACTTTTGTAATTACATTTGTAAATACACTGTTGACCATCCCTTACACCTCAATATATATATATATATATATATATATATATATATATATATTTTTTTTTTTTAAGGTCAAGGCTATTAGCAAGGTTCTCTCAATTGATTGAATTTACAGAAAATATAGATATTGTTATAGGGTTATGAATTTACTTAAATTGTGAAATGATTGTGATATTATCGTATCGCCTAGCCCTAGTAGCCATCAAAATAATTCTGAGGGAATCAGCCATATTTATTAAGAAGCACTGATAAAATATTAAGTATTACACATGATAGCATATACAATTATGTTTTTAAGCAGCGATTTTGTTCTTGTTACACTCATATCAAATGTTATTGTAATTAAATTATAGCATTATAGAAAGTATTACTTTAGTTTATTTTCAAAGATGAAGCTATAGAGCTGTTATTTAAGTGAAAATTCTGAGGACACTTGTTCTCAGAAATGCTTTTTTGTTGACAGCATATTCATATTACAAACTTTGAAAGATGTTTGGCACATTTAGCTTTTTAAAATGCAGTTTACATAACTTGAAGCAATAGAGTTTGTGTGGAGGATCGTTTAATGTGAACCCAAGCCAGGTCATTACGATTGCATGGGTTGCCCACCCCCAATTAAAGTCCCCACCTGGATACCTAATAGGTAGGAGCCAGGATAATTACAGCAAAGATAATTATGCGTATCATACAAGCCTGGGGGCAATGGTATAATTTGTGGATCCTCCAGTCAGGTCTTGGTTGATCAATATTATGCTAGTTCTGTAAATACAGAATGACCAATCAGGTGATTCCATTAATGATTTTTTTTTCTTCTTTTTTTACTTTTTTTTTTTTTTACTGGCTTTATGTCAGGTGCATATTACAAGATGAAATTGCCAGGATTCATCAGGATCAGATTGTAAAAGAGCTCTTCAGGTAGCTTGATACACAGTTGTAACACATGAATTGGCCACCACAGAGACTTTGTGGTCCAACTTTCTCATCATAAATACAAGATCTTGAAGAAAAATTATTTCAACTTTGGACTACTTATGGTATACTGAATTGCTGTACCAATCGGTACTGAAATTTTAAAAATCTCCATTTCGATGTTAGGCACTTGAATGTTAGCCATGTATATGTATCTGTGCTTGTATCTCTTTTGTGTAACCGTGCTTCACCAGGCTCGAAACTGGGCACTCTGGATCACTAGTATAACATTGTGACAAACCTACAAACCAAACTGACCACAACAAAGATGTTGTCTATAAAAAGAAAGTGAGGCAAACATATTTGATTGCAAATCACAGACACTCTTCACTTTTTGTGACATTTGTTTGGTTTGGTGCAAAGAACTGCACAAAATAATCTTTTATTTATTGATTTTATGTAGGGCTGGGCGATAATTCGATATCGATAATTATCACGATGTAAAATTTTTCGATAAAACGATAATGACAGTTCGATAATTGCTCGATAATATTTTCGCACTATGCGTAACGTTGCGCAAGCATTTTGCAGCCTGCCCTTCCAGATGCCGCACGCCGTACAAGTTTACAGCCATACAGTGTTAGTTGCACTTATATGAGTAAGAAAGAAATGAGGTAAAAAAGGTCAGAATCACAGACACTGTTGACAAGAAATGTCACTAGACTTCATGAGCTACTTAGTTTTTCGCTATCCGACACAAAACAGAGCAACGTGCACCGCAAACTGAGCAGACGAATCTTGTCATCAAAAGCAGGCAACACCACGACCTGTTTCACCATGTAAAACAAGACCACCCTTATGAAGATGCTAAGAAATTACAGACCTAAACAAGTGTTAGTAAACCAGTGCAGCTACCCAGCAGAGTCTCATGTCATCATTTTCGAAAGCCGTGCCTTACGAGAAAAAAACCCCTGAAAAGACAGACGCAAGACATGACAGAGTACACAATCTCAAACACATCTCAATGAGCTCTTGATGCTTGCTGTAAACTACAGGCTGCATCATTTATTTGTTACGACAATAATAGGATCTTTTGATGTCAAGCTTATGTTTTCTTTTTAATATTAAAGTATTTGTTTTGAAATCTGTAATACTACTATTGTCTCTCATCGACGGTAAAAGAACCAGACTTTAGGCTATATATTTAAAGGACATAATCACAGAAGAGATATCAGATGCTCAAGACATAATCTTTTAAAAAAATGACATGCAGCAAATATATGACAGACGTTTACAACAGCAGTGGATCATTAATTAAATCCTTTTTTTCCACGGAGCGAAGCATCATCCACCCGCAGTTGTTTAAGGCGGACACGAACTAAATAAATATAAACATATTTCCTTAAAAATTTATCTTGTTTTAACGAATTTCGTTTTGTATAATGTGTTACTTAATTTTGATGTATGTTTTGTTGGTCAGTTATCTACAGCATAGACAAAAGGAACGAATAACATCTGAGGTGAAGCGCTTAACACAAGCCCGCTATATGCTTTAGCGCCAAAACAGTCCATCAAACTATTTTCATGGTTTCATTTTAATTCATTAACTAAGCGCGGTCTGAGCAGCATGAACTTGACAGTCTTTTCTCTGCACTGATAGATTTCCTGGGTTACCTCGGAAGAATAAACTCGGATGGAGCTCAGAAGCTCAATGTGTAAATGGAGAGGCGCCCCGGCTGGCTCCCTGCATTTTTTTGTTGTGATGCGCATTGTTCATGCATCCCGCAATATGGGATGTCAAGAGGGTGACAGCATAAGTAAACTGCACACACTTGATGATGTAATGCGTGGATGCGTCTCAGCGCAAAGCATAACTAAACCTTTACATGTCCATGCTTAATCAGTCATCGATAAGGTCTATCGATAAAAGCATTATCAACAATCAATAGATAGTACATTAAAGTATAGTTCACCCTAAATTCACAATACTCACCATTAAAAGGAGAGTTCATCCAAAACTGAAAATGATGTGACCTTTAACTCACATTGTTCCAAACCGTTTTTTTTTTCTGATGTTGAACAATAATATCCAATAACTTGTAGGTAATGTCTTTGGTTGTTGAAAACTTGAACAGTAAATGCTGAATAAAGATTGTTCTTTTGTTTATTATTTTATTATTTATATTGTCAGACAGCTAAAACATTTCACTAAATGTGTTAAATCAGTTGCACAAAGCCATTGGCTTGCTGAAAATCTTATATATTTGATAGATATAAAGATTTTACATTTATCGAGATAAATATCGATATCGACTGAAATGAAAAAAATTATTGTGATAATTTTTTTTGCCATATCGCCCAGCTCCAATATTATGTATCTCTCTGTTAATATTACTAGTATTATAAAAGAAAAAGAAAACTGCGCCATACTGTGACTTAGCATTTATTTTACCTTGAAACTGCAGTCAGATGTATGTTGAAGTACATTTCCAATGAGCCTGTGTTGATTTGATACGCACACAACCAAAGCCCATTGTCTCCGGTTCAATGATAGCAGGTTAATATCAATGATATGTTCAATCATTTTTAAAATGCTTCTCGCTTTGCTTTGACATTCTTCTCAGTGTTTCTCAAAAGTTAATCTCACAGGCTTTCTGCTCCTTCCTTTACTTGAAATCTCAATCCGGAGCTGTCTCTATACCTAGTGAGCCTTCAAAGGGATGTCTGAATGGTTATATGTGCTCACAATTTCCCTTAAGAATGTTTAGGTTGACAGCACACTGTGTTTGAAGACACATGGTGAAAAGATCATTATGTGTCATTCATACGTGTTATATGGGTGGAAATGAGTTGCGATGCTCATCGCTGAACAGCTCCAGGATTAAAATGTTCTCTGTAAGTGGCACTGTCCTCAGCGGACCTTCACTAATGATATCCCTTCCCTGTTTTCTCTTCTCTTTCTCTCTTCCCCTCCAGGTGGTGTTGGTCTTTGCACTCAGCATCGGAGCTCTGGGAATATACTTCATAGACTCTTCGGAGTGAGTACTATTCTGATTTAACACCTCTTTCCTGAATTATTTATTGTTTTACAGTATGAGTCCAAGGACATTAACACATTTATTAAATGGTGAAAGCTTCTAAATAAGTGATTGCGCTAAAGCAGATTCAACTTATTGTGCAGAATCTACTGTTCATGAATGGGACCAAAACGGTATGAACTTTTATTCAAAATTAGGGTCACAAATAAACAATTGCCCATTTGAAAATATGTTTTTAATAACTCAGAGAGCAAATAAATATTGTATCTATTCATTTTTGTTAATTTTGCTATTCTCTGCTGACTCTCTGTGTCAAGCAAAGAAAAAGAGTGATTTCAACCTAAAGTCTTGCATAACCAAGTCTGAAGTTTCAAAAATAGTACTAGCAATTTGTGACTTTCTACAGTTTAAGTAATGGCCTCTGGTGTCAGTAATAACAAGTGTTTCTGAATTCTAAATACCATATTTTAATAGGGTTTTCCCATCAACACAAATGAAGGACTGATGTTGGTAGCCATTGGGCCCTATCATATACCTGGCACAATAAGGCGCAAGGCGTGTATGGTGCGAATTGTTGCTATTTTCAGACCATCGCAACTGTCATTTTCATGTTTTCGCACCACGTTGTTTAATTAGCAATTGTATTTGCACTACTTTGTGGACTCAATGTGTGCTGGTCTAAAAAGGTGGTGTGTTAAGGCGCAATGTTGGCGTGGTGCTATTTTAAGGAACTAAAACAGACAGTGTCATTGACCAACTAAGAGCTGGTCTAAAGACAACACAGAATATATTAGTTATGCGCCTATGTGGGTACAAACGCTTACACATTGCTCAATACACACAGGATGTACAGCAATAAAGGATTAAAATGTTACAAAAAATATTATTTTCTACATAAACAGGGCTCAAAATTGACTTTTTTACTTTGTAGCACTGGTGCTCCCAACTTCAAATTTAGGAGAACCCACCAAACATAAATGAGCACCACTTCAAATTGTATATTAAGGGATTTATTGTATTTGAAAAAACATCCATCAGGACTAACAAAAACCCGAAACAACTGTCTAACTAATTCTGAGATGACTTGTTGATATTTGCGCAATAATTCCAAAATGTATGTCGAATAATTATTAAATATTAATGATGACAAAAATGACAATAATAAAAACAATGAATTACATTTCTCATTATCATGCTGCCTTGAATATGCTTGAATGCGTGTTATTTGCTATACAAAGTCATGAAAAATAAATGTATGGTTTGCATCAAACAAAAATGAAGCATTGCAGTAAGAAATATACAGTTTTTACTATTGTTTTAATATGCATGTCAATTTAATAAATATTATTTTATTTTACAAAACACACAAAAGATTATAATAAATCCTTCAATTCAATGCTGAAAGATGCAAAACTGTTTTTTTAAGTTAGTAACTAACATCTCACGAAAGAATTGACAAAAGAAAGGAAGAAAAGTCTCACTTCTACCACTCTTTAAAAGGTTTGTGTCATTTAAATGCTCATTTTTTTATGAGCTGATTTATATTTTCCTGTGTTTGTGGAAAGCAGTCAAGTCAGCCGGCCCAATATATAAGGGGAGCAGAGTAGGATTCTCGCAATGATCAACAGCCCAATACCATTCTTTGTTATGAGCCGCAGATTCAGCGACCTTTGGCGAAGATGTATATAAGTGTTGGATTTTACATTTAGCGGACATTTGCGCTGAACATACAGTCAATGCAGTCACACAAAAGCTCCCAAATATATTATGAGGTCGTATAGATTAAATTTCGAGTGCATATGCGACCAAAATTGTCACAATTTCGAGCCCTGATAAATATAAAAAATACACCTCCATGCCTCCTTCACCTCTGGGTTGACAATTTGCATTTGTATAATGTTGTTATTATTATTAGCAGTACTATTTATTATATGCATATTCATATTTGTTTCAATAAAAACAAGAGTAGATTTGTCTACCTTTTGGGTTTTGGATCATATAGGGCATAAGAATAGGATGTGTGTTTGAATTTTTTTGCCTACACTTCGTTATTGTTGTTCATTTATTCATTAGCTGGAAATCAAAACTGAATTTAGAAATAGTTGTGAAAGAAATATTTACTCTCAACAAACAAAATTAAATATGAGGGCTAATTGATTTCTTCAGTGGAGTGAGTTTCCACCGTTTCCTTATCCACGAAAGTAAAGAGTAAAAGTAAATTAAAGAGAAAGTGAGGAGGCCGATTGGAGGAGGCTCAATCTTTATCCTTGTGCTACAGATGGTCTGTTTAGCTGTTTTCTCGCTAGTAAAGCATTTAGTTTTTCCACTTACAAAGTCTGCCATGTAAATAGCAAATGCATCACAGCACGACTCAACTTACTCTTAAAGAGATGGGAGGATACTTGGATTGGTTTAATGCACATTATGCTCAAAACACACCCATAACTCATTAAGAGAATACGCTCAACCCTGTTAAACCATGCACCATGGCACAGACTGTATTTTTCCATCCATAAAAAGCAAAAGTGGATTTGGACACGTCCTTAATGTTTTTGCGCCATGCGCTTTAGACTTTGTGCTTAGATCATTAAAATAGAGCCCTTAGTCTTTAATAGTAGTGGAATTCATGAGGTACTAACATTCTTTAAAATATATTTTGAAACTTGAGGGTTTGTAAATGGTATATTTAATAAACTATCCCTTTAATGCTACATTGTGATGACAAAGGAAAACAAACAGAAAAATGGTTAAATCATTTTTTGTAATGTTGCTTCCTAACAATAAGCATTAAAAAATAAATCTGTTCAAAAAATACTACCATCTGAAAATATCACAATCTGTAACAAAGTTAGCTTGCTTAGTAACAACTGGCACACCGTAAAAAATGCTGGGTTCCACACAATCCCTTCATGTTGTCCCAACACTAAATGATTAAATTAGTTTAATGTTTTTTACAATTTGTAGTTGATTGAACATAAAATATATAAGCTTTTACTCAGAGTATTTAATTACTAAAAGTTATTAAAATTATTAAAAGTAATTTTTTATAAAAAAATAATTGTGGTGTTTTAGCTCATTTTAAATAAGTAGTTAGAGCAAGCAGCAAAAATATTTTTGAGTGCACAATTGTTAAATAAGAGAGAAAGGCATATTTCTCTCTCTAATAAGATAAACAAAATGCAATAGCCAGGTTAAACTGTTGAACTTGATTAATACTGGTAAATACTGCTATTCATTTTAAAACTGATGCTCCTGCAGGTTAAGAGTTTTGTGTAGTTAATAAAACTCCAATAGTTTATCACTAAGAGTACAAGACAACGCTGCTATTTTCCTATAAAGGTAATGATATGATATTAATTACCCCTACATTCATGGGAATTGTTAAAGGGTACCATTATATTATTCAGGGTTTTGTTCTATGTCTTTTGTAATGTTGGACTTTAAAGCCTCAGTGTGGCCAAGCAGGGCCAGTTTCCATGGCTACATAAGCAGAGCATCTCTGCCGCCCACCCCTATCCACAATGCTCCAAAGAGAAAGGTGTGCTGTTAGCAAGGTATCATAGTTTGCCAGATGAACTTTGCTGACAGTATTTACATATGTGCTGACCAGTCCATGCATACTTTTTATATCAGAGGTTGTGAGATAGGGTTGACAAATTGAATCCAGAGTCTGATTTTATTGGATTAGGATTTACAAGCTGTCAAGTTTATTTGTTTCAATTTTTAATTCAATTATCAATCTAGTTCAGCGCATGTAGATTTAAAGGCGAACTATTCTACCCCTTTTTACGAGATGTAAAATAACTCTCTGATGTCCCTAGAGTGTGTATATTAGGTTTCAGATCATAATACTCCATGCATAATGTTTTATAACTCTTTGAGATGTTCACATATTATGCTTCGCTCCTAATTGTGCCATTTTGGCGACTATCGCTTTATATTCAAATGAGATTGTGCTTCCAGTGTTCTTTTGAAAATATGGCAGAGTTACAATAAAATGTGTCAGCATTGTGGCAGATTCAAAAACAAGCCTAACGTCTTATGCCAATGAGGGAGAGATCATCACTAGTAGGCAGGGTTGTTCTCCTCAGATGACATATTCAAAGGGAAAATGTCAATCAAAGTGTGATTATTAAAAAAAAAAAAAAAAAAAATTATATATATTTTACCATTAGAAGCTGACTATTGCCACACAGTTGTGTTTTTCTCCATTCTAAAATTTTATTTTATTTTATTTTTAGCATAATAGGTCCTAAGTTCTTTCAGTAAAGGCACTGCTAAACAGATGTATTGATTTGAACGTGCCTTATGTTGGAGCACATCTGATCTTTCCTGCAAGCTGATTCCAGCTGCAGGGAGCGTAGTAGCTGAGGGTGGATTCACCCTGCTTTGACTAAGCCCTTGGAATTTCTAATTTACATGATCCTAAAGATCTGAGTGATCTGGTTTGTAATCATTGAGCAGATCTGTAATGTGTTGAGGTTCTAGGCCATTTAGTGATTTTTTTTTTTTTTTTTAGACAAGTAGTAATACTATAAAATCTATTCTTAAGGTAACTGGGAGCCAGTGGAAAGACCTGAGGACAGGTGTTATGTGCTCTGATTTTATGCTTCTAGTCAGAATCCTGGTAGCAGGATTGTTCTGGATGAGCTGCAACTGTCTAACTGTCTTTTTGGGAAGTCCAGTGAAGAGTCCATTACAGTAATCCACCCTGCTGCTGATAAAATCATGAACAAGTTTCTCTAAGTCCTCACTGGAAACAGATAATTTAATTCTTGCAATGTTTCTTGTTTGTACATTCACTCAGCTCTTTCCTTTTACTTTTATGTTATTATTATTATTATTATTATTATTATTATTATTATTTTTATTATTATTGTTATTATTATTATTATTATTTATCCTTTTTAAATGTATATAAGCATTACTGCACTACACGGATACGTTTACAGAAAAACTTCATAGAATATTCTGTCAGTTGTCAATATGACACATCGCCT